AGCAGTTCCCTGTGTGTGTAGAGACACCGGACCTGTAGTTCCCTCCTCTCCTCTCAGCTGCTCCCTCCCGCTGTGACATCACAGCTTTCACCTCCCCACCCCCCCTGCCCTCGCTAACAGGTGGCCTGACAATACCTAACACACATGATCAACTCACTTGCTGCGTCTAATGTGGATCTAGTTAACGATTTCTGGAGTGTTCATTGTTCTCTGGAATACTTTGGGGGTAAGCTTTCTCTATTGATTTATCCACCTCAGTTTCGGACGTTGCTATGGGCACAACCAAACAATTCAACTTCTGCTTTACAGCCTCTTTTCCAGAGTGACTTACAGTAGTGAGTGGATACAATTTTGTACTTTTTCCCGTACTGGTGCAACCCTGGCGTTGCAAGAGCCGGCGGCAAACTTGCTAGAGTAAATTATTTGAAGGAGTCCATTTCTAGAGTATAGAAGGCAAGTAAACAAGTGTTAGTGTACACTATTTCATTCCAGCTGGCTAACGTTAGCTTGACCTATTAGCAGCTCTGTTGTGATAATTACATTAGCGGTGTTGTGTCGTCAGAGCTACGGGCCATCCACCAAGCCAATAACTATAGGCTACATAATATGCCATTTAGCAGACGCTTTTATCCAAAGCGACTTACAGTCATGTGTGCAAACATTTTTACGTATGGGTGGTCCCGGGGATCGAACCCACTACCCTGGCGTTACAAGCGCTATGCTCTACCAGCTGAGCTACAGAGGACCACGTAACTATATAACGTTGGTGCGCATCCACAGGAAAGTTTAACGTTCTACAGTCCTTCACCTGTCAATCAACGGATCAACGCATCCTACTGCACACTGCCTAATAATGTGGTAACGCGAGACCATTCATGAGGTCTAATGCACAGAGACTGCTACAGACCATTCATGAGGTCTAATGCACAGAGACTGCTACAGACCATTCATGAGGTCTAATGCACAGAGACTGCTACAGACCATTCATGAGGTCTAATGCACAGAGACTGCTACAGACCATTCATGAGGTCTAATGCACAGAGACTGCTACAGACCATTCATGAGGTCTAATGCACAGAGACTGCTACAGACCATTCATGAGGTCTAATGCACAGAGACTGCTACAGACCATTCATGAGGTCTAATGCACAGAGACTGCTACAGACCATTCATTAGGTCTAATGCACAGAGACTGCTACAGACCATTCAGTGCTTTCAGGGTGTGTTCATTGGGGTAGTCACAACTGCAAATAATACTTCAATGTACATGTAGGCCTAATGAAAAATAATAAAGTAACTTGTATTTTAATGTAGCAATTCGACAACATACGCCGTTTAACCTGCGCATCTTTTACAGCATGTCAATGCCTCATTGCTCAAGTGGTTTGCAAGTGATTTCCATATTTGTTATGGGTTGTCAATTCCTTCTTTTTCACTGTGCTCATCTAGAATATGCCTGCAACTATTTGCATCAGTACGACAATGTTATCATAGCCGGCCGAAAGTGATCACACCAATGCACTTTCTCTCCTCAACTTTGCCCGAAATGCATTTTCTATGCTGTAGGCCTGTTTTACATTCAGCAATTAGTAAAGGCTAGCCTGCTTCTTTCCCCGTATCGGCTATTAGGCGAAGCATTTCAAAAAGTATCACCAAAGGCTAGCCTGCTTCTTTCCCCGTATCGGCTATTAGGCGAAGCATTTCAAAAAGTATCACTAAAGGCTAGCCTGCTTCTTTCCCCGTATCGGCGATTAGGCAAAGCATTTCAAAAAGTATCACTAAAGGCTAGCCTGCTTCTTTCCCCGTATCGGCTATTAGGCGAAGCATTAGTAAAGGCTAGCCTGCTTCTTTCCCCGTATCGGCTATTAGGCGAAGCATTTCAAAAGGCTAGCCTGCTTCTTTCCCCGTATCGGCTATTAGGCGAAGCATTTCAAAAGGCTAGCCTGCTTCTTTCCCCGTATCGGCTATTAGGCGAAGCATTAGTAAAGGCTAGCCTGCTTCTTTCCCCGTATCGGCTATCAGGCGAAGCATTAGTAAAGGCTAGCCTGCTTCTTTCCCCGTATCGGCTATTAGGCGAAGCATTAGTAAAGGCTAGCCTGCGTCTTTCCCCGTATCGGCTATTAGGCGAAGCATTAGTAAAGGCTAGCCTGCTTCTTTCCCCGTATCGGCTATTAGGCGAAGCATTAGTAAAGGCTAGCCGGCTTCTTTCCCCGTATCGGCTATTAGGCGAAGCATTAGTAAAGGCTAGCCTGCTTCTTTCCCCGTATCGGCTATTAGGCGAAGCATTAGTAAAGGCTAGCCTGCTTCTTTCCCCGTATCGGCTATCAGGCGAAGCATTAGTAAAGGCGAGCCTGCTTCTTTCCCCGTATCGGCTATTAGGCGAAGCATTAGTAAAGGCTAGCCTGCTTCTTTCCCCGTATCGGCTATTAGGCGAAGCATTAGTAAAGGCTAGCCTGCTTCTTTCCCCCTATCGGCTATTAGGCGAAGCATTAGTAAAGGCTAGCCTGCTTCTTTCCCCGTATCGGCTATTAGGCGAAGCATTAGTAAAGGCTAGCCTGCTTCTTTCCCCGTATCGGCTATTAGGCGAAGCATTAGTAAAGGCTAGCCTGCTTCTTTCCCCGTATCGGCTATTAGGCGAAGCATTAGTAAAGGCTAGCCTGCTTCTTTCCCCGTATCGGCTATTAGGCGAAGCATTAGTAAAGGCTAGCCTGCTTCTTTCCCCGTATCGGCTATTAGGCGAAGCATTTCAAAAGGCTAGCCTGCTTCTTTCCCCGTATCGGCTATTAGGCGAAGCATTAGTAAAGGCTAGCCTGCTTCTTTCCCCGTATCGGCTATTAGGCGAAGCATTAGTAAAGGCTAGCCTGCTTCTTTCCCCGTATCGGCTATTAGGCGAAGCATTAGTAAAGGCTAGCCTGCTTCTTTCCCCGTATCGGCTATTAGGCGAAGCATTTCAAAAGGCTAGCCTGCTTCTTTCCCCGTATCGGCGATTAGGCGAAGCATTAGTAAAGGCTAGCCTGCTTCTTTCCCCGTATCGGCTATTAGGCGAAGCATTAGTAAAGGCTAGCCTGCTTCTTTCCCCGTATCGGCTATCAGGCGAAGCATTAGTAAAGGCTAGCCTGCTTCTTTCCCCGTATCGGCTATTAGGCGAAGCATTAGTAAAGGCTAGCCTGCTTCTTTCCCCGTATCGGCTATCAGGCGAAGCATTAGTAAAGGCTAGCCTGCTTCTTTCCCCGTATCGGCGATCAGGCGAAGCATTAGTAAAGGCTAGCCTGCTTCTTTCCCCGTATCGGCTATTAGGCGAAGCATTAGTAAAGGCTAGCCTGCTTCTTTCCCCGTATCGGCTATTAGGCGAAGCATTTCAAAAAGGATCAACATAAATGTGCTACATCCTTTGTAGCCTAAAGCTTTCCTGGGATTTCACGAGAAGAGGAATGGCCTTTAGCCTGTTGGCACGGGAACAGCTGAAGAGATGTTAGCTAGATATTAGGTCATTCATTAAATAAATATTAAGGCTAAATAATTACCTGTCAAAGTGCATGAAAAAAAAGTTAACAGATGATGAAATGGCAAATCTGTAGTGCGTTCCTCCTGGCTGCCTCTGTGGTGCCTGGACACTCAGTTCCATTATTGATTAGGCCTACGTTTTTAGACAAGACAAGTATTATACTTGGGCTACAACAACACAGTGCAACGAGGAATTCATTATGGTTATCAAGTGGGTACACTATTGGCTATTGGCTGTAAACTGCAGTGATGTAGGCTAATTTGAATACCGCTCAAACTTCCTGTTTTGTTTCATGCCGAAATAACTGCACACGGCCTAGGCCTGATTTATGCAACAGTTTGGATCAGTGTGGGTCTATTCTGGACAGTTTAGAAGGACCAGAAAGGTACGTTAGCAGGCCACTCATATGGTGTATTTTGTCAGGATGTAGCCGGTGTTAAGATAGGCCTACTATAGGAAAATATGGGCTTCTCCTTCCCATCTCCCCACCCATTAATGCTGTAGCCTATTTTACATTCAGCGAGCAAGAGCGCGCCTCTCCTCCAATAGGACATTAGTAAAGAAAATATGTCGAAATAGGTGTCCAACAAGCTTTTGAAGTCTGGCTTTTCCTGGGACTCCACAAGATTTAAGAGGAATAACCGTGGCAGCGAGATGTAACCTATAGCAGCCAGACAGGCTCGAGATGTAACCTATAGCCTAAGTAGAAGCATATGCATATTATACCGTAATTCATAAGAACAATGTTAGGTTTAATATTAATTGAATATATCCAGTCAATTTACACAGCGAAAGAAACATGTTGATCAGATAAGGAAATCATAGGTAACGCACTATGCGTTCCCGAGGCTGCGCTGAGTGCGCTCCCTCTAAGTCCCCGGGAATGCAGCTGGAAAAGCTACCATATGTTTCAGTTTTTTAGGGACAATAAATGTATTTTACCTAGACTACAACAACACAATGTAATGAAGAATGTTATTATTGTTTTCAAGTGAGAAAATCTAGTCTGTAAACTGCAGTGAATAGCATATGCAATTTGAATAACCACTCAAACGCCTGGCGTTTTGAATGCATCCCGGTATTATTCATTTAGAAATAACTGCATCTAGCCTGCCTGATTGGGCAACCATTTGGACCAATTATGTTATTTTTTCTCGGCAGTTTAATCTACAACTTCCAGGTACATAAGGCCAGTAATATGTTGTATTTGTCAGGATGTTTCGGCCAACAGAAACATGCTAATGCAGGGATTTCTAGTGGTGTGCAAAATAATTATGATAATTCATGAGCGCGGGGGAAGTTGGATCCATAGTTTCTGCGTTTGGCTTCTGGGTTTTAAAAGTGTTGGAACATGAGGTGGATAACGCAGTGTCTGGTTTATGCTTTATTTACTTAGTTGAAGTAAACAAACCAGCAAACAATCTGTGTAGTCAGGGATATCTGGTTTTCAGTGTTCTCTCTATCTATCTTGATTGTCTTCTAGTGTCTTTATGTTTTATTTACTTTGTTGAAGATAACAAACAAGGAAACAATCAGTGTTCTCTATTTCTGGATAGTCCACTCTAATGTAAACTTTATCTATCTCTGGATAGTCCACTCTGATGTAAACTTTATCTATCTCTGGATAGTCTACTCTGATGTAAACTTTCTCTATCTCTGGATAGTCTACTCTGATGTAAACTTTCTCTATCTCTGGATAGTCCACTCTGATGTAAACTTTCTCTATCTCTGGATAGTCTACTCTGATGTAAACTTTCTCTATCTCTGGATAGTCCACTCTGATGTAAACTTTCTCTATCTCTGGATAGTCTACTCTGATGTAAACTTTCTCTATCTCTGGATAGTCTACTCTGATGTAAACTTTCTCTATCTCTGGATAGTCCACTCTGATGTAAACTTTCTCTATCTCTGGATAGTCTACTCTGATGTAAACTTTCTCTATCTCTGGATAGTCTACTCTGATGTAAACTTTCTCTATCTCTGGATAGTCCACTCTGATGTAAACTTTCTCTATCTCTGGATAGTCTACTCTGATGTAAACTTTCTCTATCTCTGGATAGTCTACTCTGATGTAAACTTTATCTATCTCTGGATAGTCTACTCTGATGTAAACTTTCTCTATCTCTGGATAGTCTACTCTGATGTAAACTTTCTCTATCTCTGGATAGTCTACTCTGATGTAAACTTTCTCTATCTCTGGATAGTCTACTCTGATGTAAACTTTCTCTATCTCTGGATAGTCTACTCTGATGTAAACTCTATCTCTGGATAGTCCACTCTCATGTAAACGTTATTTCTGGATAGTCCACTCTGATGTAAACTTGATCTCTGGATAGTCCACTCTGATGTAAACTTTATCTCTGGATAGTCCACTCTCATGTAAACTTTACAGTGGGGAAAAAAAGTATTTAGTCAGCCACCAATTGTGCAAGTTCTCCCACTTAAAAAGATGAGAGAGGCCTGTAATTTTCATCATAGGTACACGTCAACTATGACAGACAAAATGAGGGAAAAAAATCCAGAAAATCACATTGTAGGATTTTTAATGAATTTATTTGCAAATTATGGTGGAAAATAAGTATTTGGTCAATAACAAAAGTTTCTCAATACTTTGTTATATACCCTTTGTTGGCAATGACATAGGTCAAACGTTTTCTGTAAGTCTTCACAAGGTTTTCACATACTGTTGTTGGTATTTTGGCCCATTCCTCCATGCAGATCTCCTCTAGAGCAGTGATGTTTTGGGGCTGTCGCTGGGCAACACGGACTTTCAACTTCCTCCAAAGACTTTCTATGGGTTTGAGATCTGGAGACTGGCTAGGCCACTCCAGGACCTTGAAATGCTTCTTACGAAGCCACTCCTTCGTTGCCCGGGCGGTGTGTTTGGGATCATTGTCATGCTGAAAGACCCAGCCACGTTTCATCTTCAATGCCCTTGCTGATGGAAGGAAGTTTTCACTCAAAATCTCACGATACATGGCCCCATTCATTCTTTCCTTTACACGGATCAGTCGTCCTGGTCCCTTTGCAGAAAAACAGCCCCAAAGCATGATGTTTCCACCCCCATGCTTCACAGTAGGTATGGTGTTCTTTGGATGCAACTCAGCATTCTTTGTCCTCCAAACACGACGAGTTGAGTTTTATTATTTATTACAACAATTGAATTCCAATGGTACAAACAGAAACACCCAGATGCTTGGTGGATTATGGGCTGGCAATCCCCTTCAACAGTATATTTACACATTAATCTCCTATCAACTGAATTACAGATATGCAGATATGCAGAAACTGGTCAAGTTTCCACTGCAGGACACAAGTCAGTCTGTATCCAGTCCCTTCAGGGTGGTGCAGGTCTGCATATAAATGACGTCACTGTAGTCCAAGACAGACAGAAATGTACACCGGACCAGCTCTTTTCTGGCCTCCAAAACAAGCCTTATGCCTGTAATAAAAACCTCTTCTCAACTTGAGTTTCTTTACCAGGTTCTCAACATGATTAGGGAAAGCCTGCTACCTAAATATTTGAATAGAGAACAGAGTCAAACTGCTGCCACCTGAATAGAGAACAGAGTCAAACTGCTGCCACCTGAATAGAGAACAGAGTCAAACTGCTGCCACCTGAATAGAGAACAGAGTCAAACCGCTGCCACTTGAATAGAGAACAGAGTCAAACTGCTGCCACCTGAATAGAGAACAGAGTCAAACTGCTGCCACCTGAATAGAGAACAGAGTCAAACTGCTGCCACCTGAATAGAGAACAGAGTCAAACTGCTGCCACCTGAATAGAGAACAGAGTCAAACTGCTGCCACCTGAATAGAGAACAGAGTCAAACCGCTGCCACTTGAATAGAGAACAGAGTCAAACTGCTGCCACCTGAATAGAGAACAGAGTCAAACTGCTGCCACCTGAATAGAGAACAGAGTCAAACTGCTGCCACCTGAATAGAGAACAGAGTCAAACACCAAGACAAGTCAATGGACACAGACACACAATGCAGCTACCTATCCAGGGCACAGTGAACATCCTCCAAAACCTTCAACGTTGAGGTAACAGTGCTGTGGCCAGACCTCCAAAACCTTCAACGTTGAGGTAACAGTGCTGTGGCCAGACCTCCAAAACCTTCAACGTTGAGGTAACAGTGCTGTGGCCAGACCTCCAAAACCTTCAACGTTGAGGTAACAGTGCTGTGGCCAGACCTCCAAAACCTTCAACGTTGAGGTAACAGTGCTGTGGCCAGACCTGAAACCTGATTGCACACCACTTAAAATATTGTTTTCCTGGAGGTAGGCCTTAAGATGCTTATTGACTAGGGATCCAATACCTTTGGCAGAATAGACAACTTAGATATGGGCCGACAGTTGTTCAGTAGAGTGTGATCACCTTCTTTCAAAAGAGGAGGGACAAATGCTGATTTCCACAACTTGGGGATTTCATTACAATTTACATTTATTTTAGTCATTTATCAGACGCTCTTATCCAGAGCCACTTACAGTTAGTGGTACATTATTTTTTATTTTTATACTGGCCCCCCGTGGGAATCGAACCCACAACCCTGGCGTTGCAAACGCCATGCTCTACCAACTGAGCTACATCCCTGCCAGCCATTCCCTCCCCTACCCTGGACGACGCTGGGCCAATTGTGCGCCGCCCCATGGGTCTCCCGGTCACGGCCGGCTATGACAGAACCTCATTCTAGGGTGAGGTTAAAGATGCATGTTACAGGAGAGAAATGCTGTCTGCAGCTAGTTGTAGTAGGCGGGGGTCTAGATCAACAGGGACAGGGGATTTCTGGACATCAATTGCTTCAAGGGGCTCTGCACACCTCTGAGACAGAGAAGGGTGAGAAGGAGAACCTGGAGAAGGAGTGCTCGGGAGTGTCAGGTCATTTCACAGGGGGGCTCATGTTGACCTTTAACCCTATCAAATAATCCACTTGCATCAAGAAAATGTTGATTAAAAGAGTTCAGAATAGAGCTTCTCTCAGTTACCACCTGTGAGTCAACCAGCAGTTGTTTAGGGAGCTGTGGCTCTTTTCTAGCACTCTAAACCTTTCACTACTTTGAAGGATTATTCAGACTAGCAGCAGTAGATTGGAGGTAGTGGAGCTTTCAGCTTTCAGGTCATAGCCACATCCTGATTCAGAACACAGTGGTCAGCTTTCAGTTCATAGCCACATCCTGATTCAGAACACAGTGGAGGTAAGTGGTCAGCTTTCAGGTCAGTCTAAAAGCTATCCAATCATCAGCTGAATCAGACCTTCTAGCTTTAGCCCCTAATGGGGGCTCTGCTCAAAAGTAGTGCACTATATAGGGCATAGGGTGCCATTTGGGAGATTCTCTGTGTTAGTAGGGGACAGACAGAGCAGAGAGATGATCAGAGGACTAGTACTAATTACAGTCTGGCTGTCTCTCAGCTGTCTGTCTGGCTGGCTGTCTCTCAGCTGTCTGTCTGGCTGGCTGTCTCTCAGCTGTCTGGCTGGCTGGCTGTCTCTCAGCTGTCTGTCTGCCTGGCTGTCTCTCAGCTGTCTGTCTGGCTGGCTGTCTCTCAGCTGTCTGTCTGGCTGGCTGTCTCTCAGCTGTCTGTCTGCCTGGCTGTCTCTCAGCTGTCTGTCTGGCTGGCTGTCTCTCAGCTGTCTGTCTGGCTGGCTGTCTCTCAGCTGTCTATCTGGCTGGCTGTCTCTCAGCTGTCTGTCTGGCTGGCTGTCTCTCAGCTGTCTGTCTGGCTGGCTGTCTCTCAGCTGTCTGTCTGGCTGGCTGTCTCTCAGCTGTCTGTCTGGCTGGCTGTCTCTCAGCTGTCTGTCTGCCTGGCTGTCTCTCAGCTGTCTGTCTGGCTGGCTGTCTCTCAGCTGTCTGTCTGGCTGGCTGTCTCTCAGCTGTCTATCTGGCTGGCTGTCTCTCAGCTGTCTGTCTGGCTGGCTGTCTCTCAGCTGTCTGTCTGGCTGGCTGTCTCTCAGCTGTCTGGCTGGCTGGCTGTCTCTCAGCTGTCTGGCTGGCTGGCTGTCTCTTAGCTGTCTGTCTGTCTGGCTGTCTCTCAGCTGTCTGTCTGCCTGGCTGTCTGGCTGTCTGTCTGTCTCTCAGTTGTCTGTCTGCCTGGCTGTCTCTCAGCTGTCTGTCTGTCGCTCAGCTGTCTGTCTGGCTGGCTGTCTCTCAGCTGTCTGTCTGCCTGGCTGTCTCTCAGCTGTCTGTCTGCCTGGCTGTCTCTCAGCTGTCTGTCTGGCTGGCTGTCTCTCAGCTGTCTATCTGGCTGGCTGTCTCTCAGCTGTCTGTCTGGCTGGCTGTCTCTCAGCTGTCTATCTGGCTGGCTGTCTCTCAGCTGTCTGTCTGGCTGGCTGTCTCTCAGCTGTCTGTCTGGCTGGCTGTCTCTCAGCTGTCTGTTTTGGCTGGCTGTCTCTCAGCTGTCTGTCTGGCTGGCTGTCTCTCAGCTGTCTGTCTGGCTGGCTGTCTCTCAGCTGTCTGTCTGGCTGGCTGTCTCTCAGCTGTCTGTCTGGCTGGCTGTCTCTCAGCTGTCTGGCTGGCTGGCTGTCTCTCAGCTGTCTGTCTGGCTGGCTGTCTCTCAGCTGTCTGTCTGGCTGGCTGTCTCTCAGCTGTCTGTCTGGCTGGCTGTCTCTCAGCTGTCTGTCTGGCTGGCTGTCTCTCAGCTGTCTGGCTGGCTGGCTGTCTCTCAGCTGTCTGTCTGGCTGGCTGTCTCTCAGCTGTCTGTCTGCCTGGCTTTTTCTCTCAGCTGTCTGTCTGGCTGGCTGTCTCTCAGCGTCTGTCTGGCTGGCTGTCTCTCAGCTGTCTATCCTGGCTGGCTGTCTCTCAGCTGTCTGTCTGGCTGGCTGTCTCTCAGCTGTCTGTCTGGCTGGCTGTCTCTCAGCTGTCTGGCTGGCTGGCTGTCTCTCAGCTGTCTGGCTGGCTGGCTGTCTCTTAGCTGTCTGTCTGTCTGGCTGTCTCTCAGCTGTCTGTCTGCCTGGCTGTCTGGCTGTCTGTCTGTCTCTCAGCTGTCTGTCTGGCTGGCTGTCTCTCAGCTGTCTGGCTGGCTGGCTGTCTCTCAGCTGTCTGGCTGGCTGGCTGTCTCTTAGCTGTCTGTCTGCCTGGCTGTCTCTCAGCTGTCTGTCTGATGGCTGTCTCTCAGCTGTCTGTCTGGTGGCTGTCTCCTCAGCTGTCTATCTGGCTGGCTTCTCTCAGCTGTCTGTCTGGCTGGCTGTCTTCAGCTGTCTGTCTGGCTGGCTGTCTCTCGGTCTGGCTGGCTGGCGTCCTCAGCTGTCTGGCTGTTGCTGGCTGTCTCTTACGCTGTCTGTCGGTCTGGCGTCTCTCAGCTGTCGTTGCGGCGTCTTAGTTTTTTGTCTTTTGGCGTTTCAGTTTTTGTCTTCTGGCGTCTCCAGCTGTCTCTTGGTGTCTAAGGTCTCTTGGCGGGCGAGCTGTTGTTGTCGTCTGGCTGGCTGTCTTCAGTGTTGTCTGGTGGCTGTCTCTCCATGTTGTTGTCTGTTGTCTGTCTGTCTGTTGTCGTCTGTTGTCGTCGCGTCTGTCTGTTCTCAGTTGTCTGTCGCCCGGCTGTCTCTTAGCTTGACTCAACTAAATGGGTTTTCGTCTATTGGTTCTCCAGCTGTTGATGTGGTCTCTCAGTTTTCGTTGCCGGGTTCTCTGCTTGACTAACTCAAAAGGGCTGTCTGTCTGTCGTCGTCTGGCTTTCCAGCTGTTGTTGGGTTTCCCCAGTTGTTTGTAGGTGTCTCTCAGCTTTTTGTCGGGGTGTTGTTGTCTGCGTCGCGTCTGCTGTCTGTTGTCTGTCGGGGCGTTGTCTCTCACGTTGTCTGTCTGGGGTCTTCAGTTGTTTTTCTGTGGCTGTCTCAAGGTTCTCTGGCTGCTCAAGCTGTCTTTGGCTGTCCACAGTGCCTCGGCTTGCCCCAGCTGTCTGTTTTCCCGTTGGCTGGGGTGTCTTCAGCTGTTGTCTGGCGGCTGTTTCTCAGTGTCGTCTTTCTGGGTTCTCGCTTTCTGTTTCTGGCTGTCTCGAGCTGTTGTCTGGCTGTTTCTAACTGTCGTCTGTTGTTTTCAGTGTCTGTCGTTTGGGGCTCTCAAAATGTTGTTTGGCTGTCTTCAGCTGTCTGTCTGTCTTCAGCTGTTGTTGTCTCTCAGCTGTTGTTGGCTGTCTTCAGTGTCGGCTTTCAGCGTTGGTGGCTGTCTCTCCCAAACTTCATCTGGCTGGTCTGCTCTGTCCCTTTCTGCTGTTGTCTGCCTGGCTGTCTGTCTGCTTGTCTGGCTGGCGTCTCTCAACTGTCTGTCTGGCTCTGTTTTTCTCTGGCTGTCTGTCTGTCTTGTCTCTCAGCTTTTCTCCTGTCTCTCTGGCTGTCCTGACTTCGTCTGGCTTTTCTCAGCTTCTGTCTGTCTTTTCTCACTCTGTTCTGGGCTGTCTCTCACTGTCTGTGGCTGTCTCTCTGTCTGTCTCTCGCTTCTGTCTGTCCTCAGTCTGTCTGGCTGTCTCTCACTGTCTGTCTGTCTCTCACTGTCTGGCTGCTGTCTCTCAGCTATCTATTCTGGCTGGCTGTCGCTCGCTGTTCTGCCTGCTGTCGTCTGTCTGTCTCTCAGTTTGCTGTCTGCCTGCTGTCTCTCATCTGACTCACTCTGGGCTGTCTGTCTATCTGCTTTCTCTCACGTCTGGCTGTCTCTAGTTGTCTGTCTGCTGTTTCTCAGCTGTCTGTCTCCTTCTGTCTCTCATCTGTCCGTCTATCTGGCTGTCTCTCAACTGTCTGTAGTTCTGGCCGTCTGATCCGTCTGTCTGTCTGTCTGGCTGTCTCTCAGTTGTCTGTCTGGCTGTCTCTGAGCTGTCTGGCTGTCGCTCAGCATGACTCAACTGATAATGGTCTGTCTGTCTCTCTCTCAGCATGACTCAACTGATAATGGTCTGTCTGTTTGGTCTGTCTCTCTCTCAGCATGACTTAACTCATAATGGCCTGCCTGCCTATTTGATCCATGACGGGTAGTGTCCAAGACAAGTGCACACTTTAAGAGAAAGGTGGTAACTGTCACCCAGCTCTAAGGATACCTTTT